ATTAAAGACAAAATTTGTTTTGTCAATGATTCATGAGCAACAAATGAAATTCACTGTCTTGACGTCACCTTAAACGACAGCCTATATGAATGTGTGTACACGTTTGTTTGTATGTGTGTTTTTGTATGGTTTGTGTGTGTTATCAAAAGTTTTCTTGTACGAGTTATTTTATTTCTGCCAATTTAAAGGAAAATAGTCGTTTTCCTTAGTAATGTTAAATTTCTTGTCATATCCTATATTTTTTTTCAAATCAAATCAAAATGTATTTAGCAAAACTGTTTACTCTACCATAATATATATATATATATATATATATATATATATATATGATATTTCTATAGAAAGATAGGACGCAATACTATATATTTAGCTACCGATAATTGATTGTTTTTATGGTGAAGTTTTTAGTGTTGTCATAAGGGTAAAATTGGTGTGTTATAGACCGAATAAATTTGTAAATTATTTTCTATCTTTTTTTAAGATTTCATAATAAAATTGAACATTTTTTTATATTCAAGACTTGTATTTTCACATTGTAAATTATAAAGAAATAATTTGCCGATTTCAGTTTTGTTATTGGAGTTTTGCTTAATTTCTTCGTAAGTTATAACCATTGACCAAACTATTCAGAATCAAATCCTACCTTTGAAAATGGACATCACAAAACTAAAATCCCTCTGATATGATGAACAGATAACATTTATTATAACAAGGCAGACAAATGACAGAAACGCTAACTTTTATGAAATGAAACAATCAATCACTCTGTCTTCTTTATTCTCATAAGTTTTATTTCCTTCTACCCCCTCTTATCTTCATATTACACAACTCATTCAATAACTTTCTACCATAAAGTGGCTCTTGATTCTTGTATTTTGTGGATAGTAGAAGAAATGTATATGAAAGAAAATAGTTGATATGCAGCATGATTCTGTTATAAAATACAATATTTTATAATAATTTTGCATTACGTTTTAGACATAAAATTTCTAGCTACATTTAAGCTAATAAGTACTTTAAGTATAATTTTATCAGTTTTATCTCTTATTTTCACACAATTCAACTTATATAATCTTAATAACTATACTTTTTTGAGTTATATTGTATTTATTAAAAAGAATTAACTTCACCCAAATCAGAGATATTTAAAGTTACAATTAGACACCTCCAAGATTCGCTAAAAAAAAACGAGCATATAATGATGAAAGAAAAATGAGCCAAACTTAATGAAAAGAAAGCTTTATCATCCAAATCTTTATATTATTATTATTAAGTGGAAAGAGTAGAGAATCTGCCACTCGTTTGCATGGGTTTACATAGAGTGAAGGTGTGAGAAAAACTATTTAAATTTGTAATGATGAAAGATGAATGGGGTTGAAGACATCGGAAGATGGTGATTAATGTTGCATTTATTTTTATGGAGATGGTAATTATCAGGGAAGCAAGTAAATGGAAGGGAATTCATAAGGGAAGCCACATCACGTCAGCCGAGATGCTAAGCCAGAATCGATTACATCACAAATCCTTCTTTGGATTTTGTTGAGAACCACAAGATGAACAGCTGAGGCAACAGTACTCAATGCATGGTAGATTTGTAAATATGTAGCATGACGAAAAAAAAAAAACCTTATTTCATGACACAGTGAGCCAACTTTCCTTACAGCAGATGCAGCTATTGATTCAATGTAGTTTTTTGAAAAGTCACTCGAAAGCCAAGAAGGAGCAAAGTGACATTATCCTGGAGTTAAGCATTAACTATGCTAATGGCGAGCAGGGAATTATCTCTATGTTTAATGTTTATATTAGTTATACACAGAATTCCTCGTTTTTTGTTTTGTTTATAAAACAGGACCTCCATTTACTTAAAATCTACTCTAAATAAGAAAATAAAAATCCAATAAAATTAAGACATTACTGAATTAGAAATTCTTTTAATAGATTTTATGAAGATTATGGAATCTATTGTCTTTAAAAAGTTTTGGTGAACAATGAATTTTTTCAAGAATTATTTCCATTTTTTTTTTTTTTTTTTTTAATTCTAATTAGATTGGTTTATAAAGTTTTAAATCTCTCAAATTTCTCTATAATTTTTACCGGTTCGGTGATATTATTTTTAAGTAAAAACTACATTTACTAATCAGAAATAATGATTCCTAACATTTTTAATTGTTTTTTTTTTAATTCTGAATTGTTTGTGTGTGTGTGAATAGGATGTTTATTCATACACGACATTGTCAGAAAATAAGTGCAATAACTATAGTAAATTTAAAGTCAAAGTACATAAAATTCAATAAAGCATTAGATTACGGATAATATTTTCCTAATATTTTAAGATTATTGAGTAGTTAAATTTGAATTTTTTTTAATAAAGAGAATTACACTCTGATGACAGATGGCTAAAATGGCATTTTTTAGCAATTTCAAATCAAAAACACCTTCCCGTCAATTTAAATTAGTTTTGAAATAAAGGAAAGTTATTGGAAATATTAAATTTAATCTATTAGCTTGAAATTTGAACTAAAATAAAAGCTTCAAGAAAGATTTTTCATTTTTTTAAATTGGAAAACCTTAGGTATCACGTTTTTTGGGTGGTACCTAGTTAAAATAATTTTACATGCGTACAAGCATCTAAGGTGTGTTCATTCATAAATCTAAAGCATTTTATATTTTAATACAACTAGCAATGTGTACAGTCATTAAATCCAGGCAAAATACTTCAACACCTTCACCCGCTCTGAATCTTATATATTGTTATAGGGATTTTAGACAAACTAATTCTTAATAATATGATCCTTAAACCATGTATATTAAAAATGATTGTATGAGGAGTTTACAATTATATCATTTTTAAGAGAATCAGTTTTATACAAGTTTAAAACTAGCGTTTGATATTAGTCACATTATAATGCAATAAAAAATTGATTTTCTGTTGCATGGTCTGACAACATAAGGATCAATAATCAAAATGCCTTGAAACTCCGTTTTTCATTTAAGTCGAATTTGTTGTAATACGACGAATTTTTGCATCCTCTAATTTAAAAAAATACCAGCTAAATTGGTTTCGATTTTTATTATTATTTCGCTTTGTCTGTGTTTTATAAATTAAAAAAGCAAATATTTTGCCGTACTTCTTACGAAACTATTATCAAAGAGTATTCGACTTTGGCGGGTGAATAAAGTAAATGAAAAGTATTAACAATTCCTCGTGACAATTTCTTCCAGTTTATAGAAGAGTGAGTGGAGGATATGTTGTGAATTGAAGCCATTTGCTGCTTCACTGATCACATGATTTCAAATTTTCCAATGTATCTCTTTCCAGATCGTTACACATGAACAGAGATATCTTTGCAATAACATTTGTTTAAATGAAAATAAAAAGAAATCCATCTGTTCAATTGGCTTTTAATTCATTTTCCAGATGCAATAATCCCCAAGTAAAAATTATTGTTCTAAAACATTTTTTTTCCATAATTTGTTTTTTCTGTTTGTTATTTAATTGAGTTTTTTTACAATCATCTCCCTTGCTAACATTTCTGTATACAAACAGGTTTTTTTCATAGAAATGTTAGGAGTGACAGCATGGCTATATTTGTATTTTTTGCTTTAAATTGTGTACTGTTTAATAACAGCTAGATATGTTTTTCAAACAATTCTTACGTTTGCCAATCATTTTCAATACATTCAATTTTTTTTTTCTTTTTAAACTTTGGTGTTGTATTTTAATTTGTTCAGTTTATTTTTCGCTTTGATTTTTGACTAGACACATTTTAATAGTGTGAAAAGCAAGAAACGAAATTGTGCCAAGTTTCGAATGATAAATGCTTCACTTGTTCGGTTACGTATGATTATCGTTGGCCATCATCGATCGAGAATTCCAGCGGGGACATTGGCCTGTAGACAATGAAACTAGATCGAATTTTCTCGCCTTTCACTGTCAGATAAAAAAAACTGATTCCTTTTTTTTCTGTTTCCGTACAATTATTTATAATTCTAAGTTCTTGTTTATAAAGAAATATTTTAAAAAGTTTCAGAATTTTTATTGGTTTCTGAGAAGTAAGTTCTGCCTGTGGCCAAATAAAATAACTTGCCACAGATACTATGATAATACTTCATCAATACTAACAACCAAAATATATATTTAATATAATAAATAAAACTTACATACATGCACACACACTATATATATATATATATATATATATATATATATATATATATATATAGGCTCAAACACTAATATTCCATGGTTATAATTTATTACATTGGAATCGTAATCATGGTCAAATTCCTTAGACCTACAAATTCAAAACGAAATCAGATTTCCTTTTTAATTTGTAGGTCTGATAACTTGGACCGTGATTACGATTCCAATGGAATATTAACGTTTGAGGCTTTTATATTATATTCTTGCTCTGTCCTGGACATTGAGCTCTACCCGGATTCTATCCTCTTGGAAATATATATATATATATATATATATATATATATATACACATACTAATAATATTAGTAGTCAATATATATATATATATATATATAGAGAGAGAGAGATAATATTAGTAGTCAATATATATATATATATATATATATAGAGAGAGAGAGAGAGATAATATTAGTAGTCAATATATATATATATATATATATATATATATATATAGAGAGAGAGAGAGAGAGAGATAGATAGATAGATAGAATCCAGGTAGAACTCAATGTCCAGGACAGAGTAAGAATATAATAAAAAAGGCTCAAACATTAATATTCGATGGTTATAATTTATTACATTGGAATCGTAATCACGATCCAATTCCTCAGAACTACAAATTCAAAAGGCAATTGATACTTGATGCTGTCAGTTCATGTATAGACGTTGTTGCATAATTACCATTTAAAAGAGGCTGCACGGTTATGTGTTCATATTTTAGTGGGTCTTTTTATCAAAACGTAAAAATACCAACTGATGTACTCACTTAAAATAAATGTGTACACTTCCCTTAACATAATTATGTATACGCACATATAGATAGATAGATAGATAGATAGATAGATAGATAGATAGATAGATAGATAGATAGATAGATATAAAATAAAGTTTTGAATAGTTGGAGATTATAGCTATCAGGGAAACAGGAAAAGGGAGTTCCACAGGCGAGAGGTGCGAGATATGAAGCTATTGTAGTAGAAGAGACGGCTACATTTAGTAGTTTCAACAGAGAAAGGGTGAGAGTGGGATGCCAGCCTCGTAGGGCGCTTGAAGTAATAGAGTCTGGAAACCAGAGAATGCAGCTCATCAGAGCAATTACTGCGAAAGTATTATTGGGATTGAGAGAAATCACCAATTCTTTAATGCAGGCTTCAATTCTAAAGCATTATGTCATTCTCTTAACGTCAGAATTGTGAATATCTGACTGTCGTTCCACATAATAATGGTAAAACTACAACAATAATAAAGGGTGGAAATATAAATAAAACTACAAATGAAGAATTATTACAATGCGATTTTTCTATAAGAATAAATTAGAACGAAATTGAAAAGAACTAAGCCTGTTCACTAGACTTTAACCTTTCACTTATTTTAATATTTCCCCTTTTATTACATCTAACAGTCGACGACTGATGGATGACTTCAGTTATTTTTATGCAAAAGTTATGCTGCTGCTTTGATCTTATGATTTGTATGAAAATAGATAGTGGAGAAAAAAACCTTACCACGAACTAGGTACGTTTTGCCTATGAATATTTAATGACACCATAATTAAAAGGCAATTGTCTGTAAATATTTTATTTGTATTAAATAATACTCTATCAACTTATTTAAAATCGTGATAACATTCAGAAAACGATAAAAATAAAACGTAAAACGATTTAATAAATCTTTTTGCCGCATGTCTTTTGTACCGCAAAAAATATTTAAATTAAATATTATATCACTTGAATAATAATAATAATATTGGAAAAGTATACAAATTTTAGATTTTTGTATATATCCGAAATACCAATTCTTTTCCTCGAGTATAAAAACTTGACAAAATTTGTTAGTCCCTATTTTGCGTACATATATGATAAAATTATTGAAATTTTTCATCATAATTGTGAAAAGAATTAATGTCTTGATCTTGTCAGAAACCAAAGAATATTCACTCAAAGTCAAATATTTTCATTTTTAATGACGCCAGACGCGTGAACGTAAATGAAACTTTTCCCATGACTTCAAACACTCTTCACTTGTTGATTTAATTTTTTCCCTTATTTTGTAAAAAAAAAAAAAAAAAAAAGGGAAGGATTTCGCATAGGCTCGCTAATTTGAAGGGAATGGGTAAAAGGAATTCTTATTTCGTACTGACCATAAGGTCACTAAATATTTTATAGATATTGTTATAATCATTTTGTTTTTGTTATATGCATTAGTTTCATATAATAATATTTACTCAACCAATTAATATTATACGCATTATTTTATTCATATATTATTGTGTACGGGCACAATTTCTTCAAATCCTAAACCAAACAGACAAAATTTAAAAATCTTAATGGGTTTCGGGAATACAGAATAAAAGGAAGGTGAGACTGGGGGTAAAGAATACAGGAGAATATACAAAAATAAGCAAGGTTAAAATTGAAAAAGAAAATGGAAGAAAAAGAAAATGGAAGAAAAAGAAAATGGAAGAAAAAGAAAATGGAAGAAAAAGAAAATGGAAGAAAAAGAAAATGGAAGAAAAAGAAAATGGAAGAAAAAGAAAATGGAAGAAAAAGAAAATGGAAGAAAAAGAAAATCGTGGTAGCAAAAGAATGAAATAAGTATTATGGTAATATGTTTGTATAAAGAAATTGCAAAATGAAGAAAGATGGAGAAACAAGAAGACGTACGACTAAAAATAGAGAAAAGTAGAGGGAAACCATGAAAGACAGCACATGGAATAAATCGAAAATTAAAGATGTCTCCTATAAGAATAGATAAGGACAAAGAATCCTAGAAAACGTAAATCAATAGAAAGGTCATGGAAAGAGAAAATGAAGGAAAGCTAAAACAATGAAATAAGAAGGGGTGTCTTGCATGAGTAGAATTCGTATCAGTTGTTTCATATAATAATATAATGGAATTTCCCTGAGTGAACAAGATTTTGTAGCTTCGGTCTTGGAAACAAATCGTTCCTTTAAGCATGTCTGTAATCAGGGATAACAAATCAAACGTTCACAAAATAGAAACCATAAAAGAAACACTGATAATCCATACTTTTTATTCCATTGTACTCTGGAATGTTCCTTTTACTTCGTGTAACTCATTGGGCAATGAACATTGATTTTATAACAATGAAAATAGGAAAGCCTAAATGAACAATGATAATATGAATAGTATTGTTAACGTTAATTGTAGCAATTATCTTTAAACCTATGAAGTGGATGGATATAGAACCTGAACATAATTTTTGTTACCTTAAGTAAATAGAAATTACTTTAATTCATATTCAAATCCTGGATTTTTCATTTCAAAAGATAACTAAATTTACAAAATTCCTCAAGGTAACTAAAGTTACAAAATTGATATGAAACAAATTTGAAATTTGTTAAATGTCTTAAACCAATTTGACTCTGAACCTGCGCCTCGTTTCCTTCATTGAATACAATAAACTCACTTTAGGTTTTAATTGAAAATAATTTACTTTTCTTTGGAAATCGAAAATTGACATGTATTTGTTTTGAGACTAAAAATATGTCAAATTTATTGTTTTAAAGGAACAATGGTGCGCATGTCAGTTTTAATTATACATTGTAACAACAAAAAAAAACATTTACTCTGAAATGAAATTTGAATTATTAAAATATTATTTTCGCCTGTGTTAAATATTCCCCATTTCTATTATGAAAGGAGCTAAAGTTTTGTGTTTACGAAGTTTCAATTATTAGAGAATAATCGATAGTGAAGAGATTATTTGCAAGAAAATATTCAATCGGCCATTGTTTTACATGTTCCTTCTACTGATATTTTGAAATAGGATGTTATGAAAGTAATTTTACAGGTTAAACTTACAAAGATAAATACAATAAAAACAAGGGAAAGCTAAATCTGTTATTGTTGCTGTCATTTTTATCATTGAGTTTACCCAACCATAGGTTATTATGGCTGTTGGCTTTCGCTAGAGATTAACTGACAGCAAGTCTCTTCAGCATTGCTGCTGATTTTAGTATTGCTGTTAGCTGTGTTGTTCATTCTTTCTCGGATTTTTAATTCTTCCGGTCAATTTGTCTAGCTTTATAATTTTCTTTCAGTTTTACTTTTTATCTTCTAATTTAGCAGTATTAACTATATGGCAGAATGCCTTGTTTTTGATAAGGAGGAGAACTGCTTTTAGCTTGGATTAGGGGATCCATTTCAAAGTCTTAGATATTGCGTTTTTATTTTGAAAACAGCTAATTTATACAATATACTTTTCATGGTCAACACCAAGTCATTTATACAATTTCCAGTTAATTACCTTTCCAACCCAGTCATGTATATATCTGTTTTCTCACTGAATGAACTTGCTGCGTTTGTTTAGATAACTAACAGTTTTACGTTTATCTTCGTATAGTCTCTATATATTTTATTGCAGTTCTCGCTTGTCCATAATATAGTTCCTGTAAAATTAATTTGGATCACCAGGAATGGAGATTTAGTTTCTTGCTTCAAATGTTCTCTTCGCAGCCATATGTATTCCATGCCATCTGCAATTCCTTTTGTTTCGTCAAGATTCCCCCCCCACTTTCTATCATGTCTACTATATTTTGGTCTTTACTGTATCAATATTAATAAACTAATTACTAATTTATTTTGTGACCTAATAAGTGAAAACTTACAAGATCAAGAAATATAGCAGAAATATTCTATTAACCGGTGAACGGTAATAATGGCACGGTAAGAAAAAATGGCACCTGTAAAAATGGCAAAGTGAAAAATAGGAAATTTAAAAAAAAAAAAATAGATTACATTCAAAACCATTTTTTTTTTGCCAATAATGTATATTTCAATGAACTTATTTTTTCCTATTTCTTCACTTGTGACATTTTTACCTGTGCCATTATTACCTAAATACCTATTAACCATCAGCTTTTCAGAGCAGAGGATTTTTTAACTCACGTTTAGATTCTTAAAAAAAAAAAAAAAAACGCTTTCTCAGTTCCTTTCATTGCAAGAAACGTTTTTTTTATTTACATTTTTTCTCCTCCTGTTCCCTCTTAATAAATTTCCCTGTATTTCCTGTTCCTACCGTCATCTATCACTTGATCTCTCTATTTCAGTGATGTGAAAATGTTTGAATAAACAGAGTTTATATTTTAAAAATTAATTTTATCTTAGGTGTGTCTAGCCATTATTTGAATTATCTTTTTCATGTTTCATTTACATAGCCTAAAAGTAGTGATCTAACTGATACTACAAAGTCACCTAACAAATTCGGAGTGAATCAATCCTTAAACACCATTAGAATAAAAGATTAATTCTTTCTTCATGTACAAGAAATATATCTAATTAATGTATTTTATAAGCACCGTTGGTTAAGTTCAGATTATAATAGACTGCAGCTATGTGTGTATATTAACGCAAAATATTTCTATTCACAATGTCGACGGTTATGAACTATCGGAAAATATTTAATATCTTAATTTTTTTTACTGTAAAGTACGAATATCAGCAGTCGCTGCCAAATTTCGATTTTTTATTTTACTTTTAATGAGCTTCCAAATAATGTAGCGACGAATGCATTTTTTCATATTTAGATACTAATTTCCGCATCTTGGCTTCACTGTACTTTTATTAACGTACGAAACTTTTCTTCTCGTGGAGCAATTTCTGAGATAAATATCGTTTGGCAGCCATCTTTTATTTTATGAACTTCTTAACCCAAAATAAAGGCTACATTTTTAATCATTCTTTCTTTTACAGTTTTGTTTATATTTATTTTATTTGGCTACATTTTTTTATATTTATTTTATTTGGTTACAATTATATTTTTTTATTTTTCTACTTGCCTGTTAAAAGAATTGGAAAAGAAAACAGAAAAATCTTGTTTAAAGCCAATATTTTCCGGTTTTCACTTGCACTTGATGCAAACATCATTTGTTAAAATTTTTTGCTTGAGTATAAAAAAATATTTTTTCGAATATCCTGAATGATTTTATTCGAGTTTTGTTTTGTATTTTGATCATCAATTATTTAAGTGCTTTTTTGTCACTGGTCATGAATATTTAATCTAGAAAAATACGTCCACCTTAACTTGTGCAAAAACCAATTTTTTTACATGTTTAGAAGTAACTTATTTAAATTAAGGGATAAGCAAGAAGTGAATACGAATCTATTTTTGCATTTATATTAAACTTTTTCCGAGCTTGGTCTGATGGCTGAGGTAGTTGCGTATTGCAGTTCAGGTCAAAGCTAGAATTTTGAATACTGATTTTCAAAACAGGCAGAAAGTTTTTCGATCCCTTTTTTGTGGGCGGGGGGGGGGCATGTGATTGTGGATGAGCATGTTTATGCTGTGACAGCGACCTGGACTTACTAATAAAGTATAGTTTTATAATACATTTACTTTTAAACAGTTTTTGTGCTGCCAACCGAAAAATTACATTCCAACATTTAATAAATTATCCAAGTGGTTATATGTAGCTTTTCAATGCGTTAAGTCTTGAAAAATTATTAATTTTAAATAATTCTAGAAGGTAAATAGAGAAAGATCAAAAAATATATTTGCTGTGGTGCATGTACAATTGTTTGCGTGCATATATGTCCACATTTGCGTCTATTTGCATTTATTTACATGGATCAAGAAAACACCAAAACACAGACATATTTCCATGAATGTATTATTTCATACATACATATGTGTGCACCTCTGTGTGTGTGTGTGTGTGTGTGTGTGTGTGATCCAGTGCTTGATACAATATCATCCTTTTAAATTTCAAAATTTCAGATATGCATGTATGAAAGTATTTTCAATTAATAATTATAAAATATTGCCGCTAGAGAGAATTTTATTTTTATTTTATCGACCAAATTTCTTAATTTCTTTGGTTTTAATCATTGAGTTGTAATGAGAGAACAATAAATGTACAATTTAGAAAAGAATAAAATGTAAGCTAAAGCTCGTGAGTATTTATGCAGAAACATTCAAGTTGGAAACATTCTAAATTATTCATCTAAATAGAAACAAAAGACAAAGCAATTTATTGTCAATCAAAATGAGTTGTAAAAATTTGCATCTCGATTGAAAGAAAGGTACGAACATAGTTGGTATACGAAAGGTAGAGTTGTATAGAGAAATACCTAACCATATACATTAGATAAATTAGGAAATTCTTTGTACAAGATTGCATTTATGACGCAAACATTTCTCTAAGATACTAGATGGTGTAAGAACGTTCCTAGACTGTATGCGTCATGGTTGCTATATTCAACAGAAATCCACGTGAAGCTTACACTCAGCCGACTGAATTATGATGCCAATAAACTCCGTAATATTTGCTTGTGATCAGTTATGATGCGATGTTATATCCCGTTTAAATTGTCCTGCAATCTTTAAGATGCCACTGTCAGATTTTGCGTGTAGCTCAGCAGTTTTACTACAAAAAGTTTCATAATACTTCGTCAGGAATTTGTTGGAAATACTAGGGCATAATCCAGCTTATTACCTACTCATCAAGTTCTTCCAACGGAGTTCGAGATTCCCCATTAAAAATTACCGTTATGAGATCCGTTTTTATCTACTTCTTTGTTCAACTTACATATTTCTGTTTGCGATGTTTAAAGGGGGGAGATTATTTTTATGACTATAGCAAATGACGTGCGTTGAAATCCTCACAGTATTTAATATTGTTAAACTTGCCGCTAACATTTTTTGTCGAGATTTACGGACTCTACGTTTTATTCAATTTCGCAAACCAATCAATGAAATTTGAATAAGCTGATTTGTTTGGGAAAATACTTTGATAAACCTACTTCATGGTTTAATAATTTCTTTAATTTAATATAATTTATAGGACTTCATGGTAAGCAATATTTTTTAAGAATTTTTTTTTTTCTTTTTAACAGCAAAGAATAAATTCTTAGGATTTCTTACTCTTGAGCATGCAACATACGACTGGCCATGTGTAAATATTTCTTTCTGGAGCCAAATTCAATTTTTTGAAGCGTTTGGCCTTGTGATTTGTATATAGTTCTCGCAAACACTGAGTGGACTGGAAAACTGGGTTCTTGTATATAAAAACTTAAAGAAAAGATATGCATTTAGATAGAAAACAATATTGCATTTTTATTAAATAAGTGTTTGTTATTTTAAACATTAAATTGTTTTTAAAATAGTGGGAGTATTTTGAATGCTAAATAATAAGCCTTTGAATTTTTCTAGAACAATTACTGAAAATTTGTTGTACTAAGCTCCGCACCTTAGTAAAACCAATTGTACTTTATACCCACTTAGCTGCTTGCAATTCTCAACAAAATTTTATTTTGATCGGTCATTGTATGGATATTTTAGAAGGCGTGATCGACGAACGGACTAACAGAAGTCACAGAATTTTATATATACATTTTCTCGCTGCCCAATCCACGTATCTTAATTAAAAGTAATTTTCACATATCACTTTTGTGTTTATACTTAAGCGGTGTTTGTTCTAACCTGGCCAATGTTTTCCTTTTTAAAAATTGCTCTATGATCTTGTGGGTGAATAGGTTGTCTTTCTTATGCACGTCGGTGGTCACCATAATGTTGTAGGGGATTTACTTACAATTAGCCTCGTGTTCACGGAGATAAACGCATACTTGACAGGAAATACAACGTACAGAAATAATAGGAAAAGCATGATAAATTTATACAATTTATTTGTATTGTTGTGTGTATTTTTAGGTTGCAATTGTTTTATGGTACAAGGGAGAACTTACTCCGTAGTATTACAAGCCATATCACAGAGAGAAGTTACACACGTGTTCCCCGTAGCAAGGTTCGTGACAAAAAGGTTCAATTTAACGACTTTTGGCAGGAACAGTTTTTTTTTTTCTTTTTGCATGCTGGGAGTTTGTTTTTTTTTTTGTTTAATTTATTTTGTACAGCGTTTTTATGTTATTGTTTTATTCTATTTTGTTTATAATTTGCATTATTATTTTACATTTTATTTATTTATAATATCTTACAATATATGTTCAGTTTTTTCGCATTTTCTAAAGTTGTCTTCCTATCATTTAACTCAACATTATCCTATTTCTCTTTTGAGATTATATTTTATTTACGACCCATGGCAAACTATTTATATCTAAAATTAAAAACTAAATATCAATAACTATATTATATCTAATTATAATATGATGAATAACCCTCTGTTTGCATAACAGAACATCACATCAGCAAATACATTATTGTAAATATTTCTAATAAAATTAGATATTATACTCGGAAATTAAGATTGAATATTTTTTAGATAAATGTATCCTGAAATGTTTCCCAAAATTGATTGTTCAATATCAACATTACTGACAAAACTGACTTGAATAATAAAAAGACAAAAGAATCATCTGACATGTTATATAGTAAGACGTATTAAAACTGTCAAACCCATTCTTCATCTCATGTCATACTGTTCTCTTTAATATACATTTACTTATCGGTAATAATTGATTTCTTGCTATTCTATTCGTAGCTAACAAAGTAAAAGGTTTCTCATCAAATAAGCGAATCTATCAATCACACGCAGTATATGCTGCGACTGAAAAGTTATTTTTTATAAGTTGATGTCTTTATGAATAAATACGTTCATGAAGATATCTAATGAAACCTTTTTGATTGTATTGATTACCAAATAAGTAAGTTTTATCCATACATTACAAGTTTGAAAAAGTTCATCGGAAGTCTATTCATTTCATTTTAAAAAGGGCCTGAGTTTTATATATCATTGCCTATTATATTTGCTTGTGTATAAAACGACTTGAGTATAATACGGCCCCGTGTCTTGTTTCTGAAGATGAAGAAACGGAATAAATGACATCATTGAGTAGGGTAAAGCGAATTGACATTAAATAAAAACCCCACTGATTGAGCTGAAGCTTGACAAACACATACTCCACGTAGGTCGGCCATTTATTGAATGTACTTTGAAATGAAAAGATTGTAGAATTTTCATAATCTTTATGACAGAATGGCAGATGCATCAACCTGCTCCATCCGTGGTACACATTCATGCACCCAATGGGTCACATTGATGCAAGGTTAAACAAATTGACGCAAAGAATTAACAACGCAAAACATTAGCTTAAATGTTATTTTAATGTGCCCAAGAGAATATATGAATCGATAAAAGAAAACAATTATAGCAAACCCAAGAACGTAGACCAATGAGTAAATATATGGCTACTAAAATCTATTCATTAGAATCCATGCACCAGCGACATATAAAAACAAAGATCCTCACACAAAAGTCAGTGCATGACTCCTGAGCCCTGTCTACACAACCCGAACATTGGGTACACACCTCCCCACGCCGAGAGTTTGCATACGCACCCCAACAATAAATTTAGTACCAATCATCTTTTTCTTAACACAAGATTGTACACTGGCGTGTAAGTGAGAATATTGCTCATCCTCTTTCTTGTATCACCCTACCCCACCACCTATATAAATATTCAAAGGCTTGTTGCTAGACCCACTTTGTTCGCAGAGCTTTGGCAAGTGAACTTAGTTAAAGGAAACTTATAGTAGTTCATCATATTACAAGGCCATAAACATATTTGCAGATGAATTTGACTTAGAAAAAAATTAGAACAAAAAATATTCTTACGTACCGTACTAAAACGGCTGATTTTCCCACAAATTTGGTTCAAACTTTCTCAATTCTCAGAGCTTCGACTTGTAAAGAGGAATGGAGCAGGAAGGCTTAAACATGCATGTGCTTGTGCCAATTGCAAACGAATAGATGCTACTGTTTCTGAAATATGCATTGTGTATCAACCTACCCTGTGCATCAATGTACTCCGCTTTACTCTATGACACTTGTATTACAGCCACCTTTATGTCATTATCTTAAAGGCTTCAACATATTATCCATTAAAATCTCAATGTTAAAATATATTTCATTAAAATATTTCATTTTTCACGAGATTAAAAAAATAAAAGAGAACCGGATTTCATGTTTCTTCTTCTAATTTCCGCTTCGAAACTTATTTTCGTGGAAAGTTACTAACTACACATATATAGGATATACATTTAAAATGTTAATTAATTTGTCATACTTTTCTGTTTGGTATGACTGTTATATTTCTATATATTAATAAACTATGGAAATAAAAAAAATATACATTTTCTTTCACTGAGAATGAAGAGAAAAATAAATATTTCTGACATATCAAATACCTTTTGTAAACAATTGTTATCAACACCTGCCGACTTTGTATTTTATCATCGATTGAGGCATGTATATTTGCAATTTTGCTGTTTCAAATATATTTTTAAGTTGTGCACTTGTATATAATACGTCCCAGCTATTTCACCTTTAATTTTCGTTCAGGATTTCTCGTATTCTACACCAGAAAATACGGTATATGAATTGAAATATATCAACCCGATTAAGAAGCTTCCAAAAAAGAAAATCTGATATTTGATCCGTCCTGGGTATGACGATAAACTACGTCCAGCAGCAAGGCCTCTGATCAGGAGGTTTTTAAGAGTGTGGAACCGCCTCTTAATTGCTGGTGTTCCCAGATCCACTCTGACCCGGGGTGGTAGCACCTATTAGGGTCCCAGCTATTGGCAAATAATTAACAACCAAACTTGTGTAAAAATAGGTTTTAATACCAGAAATACTTTGTAATAAAAAAAATTATTACCAGCAATAATGTTTGAAGGAAAAATACCAGCAATACCTTTAAAAAAAATACCAGCAATACAAACTGCTATATATTCTTTGGGAAAAATATGACCAGCTATAGATATCTACAAGGAAAAATGTTCCCAGAAAGAGATTTTTGAAGAAAAATATATTACCAGCACTAAAAATTTTGTCAGCATTAAATAATCTATTGAGCATGATATGCCGTAAAACAAAACAAAACCAACTGATATTTGATAATTTGGTCATACGTTTGGACTAATTGTTAATAATTATTAATAATTGTCACAAGAAATGTATAGGATAAACTAAGAAATTTAAATAAAAGATTATATCAACACAAAAGGAATATTTTACAAAACAATACATCAAATGCTTTGGTTGCCCACCGTAAAGAGACTGGCCACAATTTTGACATAAAAAATGCTACTCTGATCAAAGGAGAAATAATTCCACTACGACGAAAATGTCTAGAGAGTGCAGGGTCTTCTACAGTAAAACTGCTCCGTGGCTTTTACAAAATTTCACCATTCCTGGCAGAAGTTCAATTTTCACACAGTGTTCGATACCTACTAACAAAAGTGATGGAAAGAAAAAGAATCTAAATAAAATCGGCTAGGAAAAAAAATTAAATTTAAAGTTCCCAACATCCTTGGTTTGTGCGCATGCGTAGTGGCACCAACGTAACAAATTTAGTCCGATGAATCCTTAAAGGACGAAACGCGTCAGAAGAAAACTTTCTACTTTGTCATATATTTTTCATATCTATGAAAAACTTGTTCCTCTGAAAAGAGGTTCGAAAGAAGATGATGAGAGTTGAATGTCAATTTGCTACAGTGATTTACCCTAAACAAGCAGATAGATAGATAGATAGATAGATAGATAGATAGATAGATAGATAGATATGCATAGACTATAATAGATAGATAGATAAAGAGAGAGATAGATAGTTATGTACAGACTATGATAGATAGTTATGTACAGATTATGATAGTTATGTACAGACTATAATATATAGATAGTTATGTACAGGCAATGATGGATAGGTAGTTATGTACACACTATGATGGATAGGTAGTTATGTAAACACTATGATGGTTATGCACAGACTATGATAGTTATGTACAGCTGAAGATATTTATGTACAGAATATAATAGATAGAGAGTTATGTACAGATTAAAATAGAGAGTTATGTACAGAATATAATAGATAGATAGTTATGTACAGACTATAATAGATAGATAGATAGATAGATAGATAGATAGATAGATAGATAGATGGTCATGTACAGACTGTGATAGATGGTCATGTACAGACTATGAGAGATAGACAGTTACGTACAGACTATAAGAGATAGACAGTTATGTACAGACTATGATGAATAGATAGTTATGTACAGACTATGATGAATAGATAGTTACTTATGTACAGACTATGATAGATAGATAGTTATGTACAGACTAAGATAGATAGATAGTCATGTACAGACTATGATAGATAGTCATGTACAGACTATGATGGATAGATATGTAGACACATAGTCATACAGACTATGATATGATGGATAGATAGACACATTCATGCACAGACAGACACATGATATGTAGAGACACATAGTCAGAGACTATGATAGTTATGTACAGCTGCAGATAGATAGTTATGTACAGAATATAATAGATAGTCATGTACGGACTATGATAGGTGGATACTCATGTACGGACTATGATAGGCGGATACTCATGTACGGACTATGATAGATAGTTATGTACAGACTATAATGGATAGATAGTTACTTATGTACAGACTATGATGGTCATGTACAGACTATGATGGTCATGTACAGACTATGATGGTCATGTACAGACTATGATGGTCATGTACAGACTATGATGGTCATGCACAGACTATGATGGTCATGTACAGACTATGATGGTCATGCACAGACTATGATGGTGATGACACATAGTCATGCACAGACTATGATGGTCATGCAGACTATGATAGACATAGTCATGATGGTCATGCACAGACTATGATAGACACATGTCATAGATTGAGAGTCATGCACAGACTATGATAGATTGAGAGTCATGCACAGACTATGATAGATTGAGAGTCATGCACAGACTATGATAGATTGAGAGTCATGCACAGACTATGATAGACACATAGTCATGCACAGACTATGATAGACACATAGTCATGCACAGACTATGATAGACACATAGTCATGCACAGACTATGATAGACACATAGTCATGCACAGACTATGATAGACACATAGTCATGCACATAGTCATGCACAGACTATGATAGACACATAGTCATGCACAGACTATGATAGACACATAGTCATGCACAGACTATGATAGACACATAGTCATGCACAGACTATGATAGACACATAGTCATGCACAGACTATGATAGACACATAGTCATGCACAGACTATGATAGACACATAGTCATGCACAGACTATGATAGACACATAGTCATGCACAGACTATGATAGACACATAGTCATGCACAGACTATGATAGACACATAGTCATGCACAGACTATGATAGACACATAGTCATGCACAGACTATGATAGACACATAGTCATGCATAGACTATGATAGACACATAGTCATGCACAGACTATGATAGACACATAGTCATGCACAGACTATGATAGACACATAGTCATGCACAGACTATGATAGACACATAGTCATGCACAGACTATGATGATAGTCATGCACAGACTATGATAGACACATAGTCATGCACAGACTATGATAGACACATAGTCATGCACAGACTATGACATAGTCAGATGATAGACACATAGTCATGCACAGACATAGTCATGCACAGATAGACACATAGTCATGCACAGACTATGATAGACACATAGTCATGCACAGACTATGATAGACACATAGTCATGCACAGACTATGATAGACACATAGTCATGCACAGACTATGATAGACACATAGTCATGCACAGACTATGATAGACACATAGTCATGCACAGACTATGATAGACACATAGTCATGCACAGACTATGATAGACACATAGTCATGCACAGACTAGACACATAGTCATAGACACATAGTCATGCACAGACTATGATAGACACATAGTCATGCACAGTCTATGATAGATACATAGTCATGCACAGTCTATGATAGATAATTAGGTACAGTCTATGATAAATAATTAGGTACAGTCTATGATAGATAATTAGGTACAGTCTATGACAGATAATTATGTACAGTCTATGATAGATAATTATGTACAGTCTATAATAGATAATTATGTACAGTCTATAATAGTAGTTATGCACAGACTATAATAGATAGTTATGCACAGACTATAATAGATAGTTATGCACAGACTATAATAGATAGTTATGCACAGACTATAATAGCCCCCGCTTTATGGGATCCATAACAATTGATAGATACATATGCACAGACTCGAATAGATAGATAGATAGATATGTACAGACTCTAATACACAGATAGTATTGTAGCCCCCCCTGCTACTCCGTTCCTGTTATCATGCCGAACGAGATGTTACTTTGAGACCTTTGCCTTTTCTTCGTTGTATCACCCCCACTTTCTTCTATGAACATAACAGGCTTTTTTTAGATTTTATAATCAACCACATTTTTCTTAGCTGATTGATTTATTACACAATGTAAATCCTCCACTTGAATATTTCATAGAATTTTTAATACTTTCCAGCAACTCAGTATTTCATTTTTAGCTATTAAGTACGTATCAAGTTCTGCGATGTAACTACACAATTATTATCATATAAACCTGTGACCTTTCGCCGTTCAAGAGAGAAGTGGAAGTGCAGACCCCTGGTACCTGTGACCAGGGCGTTTGGACGGGTTCTGTATTAAGATATTTTCTTCCGGCGTTTCTGGACCTGCTTATTCAATGGCAACACAACAGTCCTGTACTTCCGGCTACACATTGGTCCTTACTTCCGGCGATACTTTTCAACCAAACTCACCTAGTTTCATAGGAAGTTGCTGCCCGCTTATCTTGCTGGCGTCAAACATCTGCTGGTTTGGTTAACTTCAACGGGTAGATTTTTGTAATAACTTCACCCAGCAATTTCTCAATGCCGCATCGGATATTACCGCAATCTCGGTCTATAATTTCTCACCGCTTCATGGTGTATTTCTTCAACGCCAGCACCGGATATTAACACAACATAGGCTTATTTTTCGCCGATTCATTCAGCTTCCGCTCGACGCGAGCGCATCATTGGTCTATTATTTTCTCGCCGTTTTATTGTCTATTATCTTCAACGCCTGCACCGGACATTTAAGCTACTTCGGCCTATTACCAGCATCTGTTCAGCACTAGCATTTCGGATATTTCTAGCCGTGCATTGGTTTATCCTACGGTCAGCTTATCGTCTTGTCGTCAAACATACTTTGTCATATATATTCGGTTAATTACTACGGACAGGATTATTGTTTTGACTTAATTCAGCATCTGCTCAACGCCACAACGGACATTACAGCGACATCAGACTGACCTTTCGAACATTGACTTTTTCTACCAACCTAAATTGCCAGGAGTCTACTGACTTAAAGTGCATGATATACAACTCATCTGCATTATTAACCATTTCACGGTTATCCTATCTTGTTCAACACTATCGTTCAGTAACCCCCATTTATTGTTCAAGTTGAGTTGTCATCTCTTTTCGGTTCGGTCAACCGAAACACTATTATCCTATTCAATTTTTGTATTAAAATTGTATACATTATGTAAATAAGTTTTGCATTAATTTAGGTCTCCTCGGTTTTGTTGCTCTTGTTTGGTCCTGTCAGATTTACATTATTTATTTTTAAATGTTTGCTGGCCTCCTGTGACCCATCTTAATTCGGGCGCACTGGGCCATATCCTATCATAAGCCTCCAATTTATGGGATCCATAGCAATAGATAGATAGATATGCACAGACACAGAGATAGATAGATAGATAGATAGATAAATAGATAGATAAATAGATATGCACAGACACATAGATAGATAGATAGATAGATAGATAGATAGATATGCACAGACACATAGATAGATAGATAGATAGATAGATAGATAGATAGATAGATAGATAGATAGATATGCACAGACAGATAGATAGATAGATAGATAGATAGATAGATAGATAGATAGATATGCACAGACAGATAGATAGATAGATAGATAGATAGATATGCACAGACAGATAGATAGATAGATAGATAGATAGATATGCACAGACACATAGATAGATAGATAGATAGATGAATGCACAGACACATAGATAGATAGATAGATATGCACAGACACATAGATAGATAGATAGATAGATAGATAGATAGATAGATAGATAGATAGATAGATAGATATGCACAGATAGATAGATAGATATGCACAGGCACAGAGATAGATATGCACAGGCACAGAGATAGATAGATAGATAGATAGATAGATAGATATGCACAGACACAGAGATAGATAGATAGATATGCACAGACACAGAGATAGATAGATAGATATGCACAGACACAGAGATAGATAGATATGCACAGAGATAGATAGATAGATATGCACAGAGATAGATAGATAGATATGCACAGAGATAGATAGATAGATATGCACAGACACAGAGATAGATAGATAGATATGCACAGACACAGAGATAGATAGATAGATATGCACAGACACATAGATAGATAGATAGATATGCACAGACACATAGATAGATAGATAGATAGATATGCACAGACACATAGATAGATAGATAGATAGATAGATAGATAGATAGATAGATAGATAGATATGCACAGAGATAGATAGATAGATAGATAGATAGATAGATAGATAGATAGATAGATAGATATGCACAGAGATAGATAGATAGATAGATAGATAGATAGATATGCACAGACACAGAGATAGATAGATATGCACAGGCACAGAGATAGATAGATATGCACAGGCACAGAGATAGATAGATAGATAGATAGATAGATAGATATGCACAGACACAGAGATAGATAGATAGATAGATATACACTGATAGATAGATAGATAGATATACACTGATAGATCGATAGATATACACTGATAGATCGATAGATATACACTGATAGATAGATAGATATACACTGATAGATAGATAGATATACACTGATAGATAGATAGATAGATATACACTGATAGATAGATAGATAGATATACACTGATAGATAGATAGATAGATAGATATGCACTGATAGAT